ATATTATGCGGAATGGAAAAATGTAAAGCTGACCCAGTTGAGATAAAAAGGGGGCCAAAACAAACTGGGGAGGTTGGGAATCTCGACTTAGACCATAACCAAAGAGCAGCCGGGATACAGGCCAGGAACAACACTTACTCACATTAGGTACACTGAAGCTTGTCTAACCTAACCAAGGGAGGGTTCCACAGGAAGCCACCCGATGTGCTGTAGGTTGACCTAAAAAAAGAAAATCAAAGGCTAGCCCCGGTCACACGAACCAAGCTCGCCTCTTTTACCCACCTTTCGCTGAAGACTGTCGAATGCAATCGTTTTCTATCAGATCTAATCTTCATCTTGAGCTGATGCTCAAAGAATTGGATTAGATGCTGATAAGAAAGACGGTTGCCCCGCAAGACTTCCTCCATTCGCGTCGTCCAAATCACCATTCGAGCCGTGGCCATCAGCATCAGAAACACCATTTGTTTCTCCCCCGAATACGGGGGCGACACATTGTCACACGCGTATGCGCGATCAATGGACACAAGCTGTTCGGGAGCGTAGACAAGCCATCAGCTCGCCAACATGGTCCCATAAGGCGGACCGGGGGCAATGGTAGAAGGCGTATGGGCCGTTTCTTCTAAGCCAAGACCACACCGTTCACAGTCTGGCAAATCCGCCAAACCCCATATGAAAGCCTTGTCATTGAGAGGCAGCCGATTCGAGCCAATCGCCAGGTAAGCGAAAACTCAGGGTTACTGAGGTAATCCGCCGCTGGCGCCTAAGACCAATAGGAGCATGCTCCTCCTCCGACAAGCCAAAGCGTATCATGTAGCTTAACCCCCTCCACTAAACCACGATAGAAGACCTTCCTAGGCCGAAAGGTCACTGGACCGGGAATGGCCTTCAAGGCCAACCGACACTCAAGGGAGGAAACCGACTCATCCCGGGGTTTACAACGGCGCCAACCCCGAGATGGGGGGACTGATGGTAAGGCTAGGGAAGGCGTCCCTAACAATCCCCTCCAGAATCGGATCTCCTCTAGTCAATGCGCGGCGCGGGAAAGCCAACCTAGAGGCACGGATGACTCAACAGGTGCGGCATTCCCAGCCCCCCATGACACGGACGTTTAGTGCAGACTCGTCTGTCGACCCTGTTCACGTCCCCTCCATAAAATGGAGGATAGCGATCGCTCGAGCACCTTCCTGTGGTCTTTACAGAGAGGAAGTACGGACAATCGATAAAGAATCAGGGGAAAAATGTATGTCACACACACCTCTGCCCTGCCCTTCACGGACAACCTCCGTCGATTCCAAATCTTACCGGCAAAATCGACCTTTGCTCGTACTTCAGACCAATTCTTCTCCAGCTGGAGGTCGGGCCCAAACCACACTCCAAGAATGCGGACAGGACCATCCGTCCAACCGAAGCGGCCCGGAAGATCGACCCCCTTCCAGGCACCTAACCGCAAGCCGGACGACTTGTCGCGGTTTATCTTGGCCCCTGTCACCTTCTCGTACCGATCAAGCGCCTTCTGTACCGCCTCAATGTCGCTGCGGGACGACACGAAAGCAGATACGTCATCGGGCGACGCTGAAACCCTGGCTCGAGACCCTCCAGGGACGGCGATTCCACGTAGGGGCCGGACTGCCGGTCGGTCCTTCAGCCGGGCGGCGAGAGGCTCCAACGCCAAAGCATAAAGGAGAGGCGACAGTGGACAACCCTGACGAACCGACCCAGACAGCAATTTAACGCGTCCGACAACCTTCCGTTCACCTGTACTACAGCACTGGGGGAGCGATACAGGAGGCTAATCCAGCGGCAGAAGTTGGGTGCGAATCCAGCGGCCTGCAGGACAGTAGCAAGGTAGCGATGGTCAACCCTATCAAATGCCTTGGACTGATCCAAATTGATCAGTTGTGGCTTCTTCGTCGTATTTTACGCCCTCTATGATCGTGCGGATCAGATGCAGGTTGCTCTGAATTGTTCGCCCCTCACAGAACAAGTCTGCTCAGGTCCCAACAGAGACTCGGCAACTGACTGCAAACGCTCCTGCAGGATCTTGGCCATAATCTTTTTAACTCTGTGTTTAGCAGAGTTATGGGCCTGTAATCATCTAGCTTCCCCCCACCACCTTTGCCCTTTTTCAACAGAGTGATCACACCCCTGGTGATCCGATTGGGATGGACCCCGACCAAAACCAGTTGTTGAACACTGCTGTCAAAATCGGAACAAAGATGTGCGACAGCCTCAAGTACAATTCATAGGGCAAACCATCCAGACCGGGCGACTTGCCTCTGCCGACCTTCTTCAATACCTCGTAGACTTCACCCTCCGTGATCTCTCCCTTGCAGCTAGCCGCTTCAGTCGGCGCCAAGCCGAGAAAGTCAGCCAAATAGCTCTGAAACTCCTCCTCCACGGAGACCAGGCTCCTTGGTAAACCGGTTCCCGAAATGGCGCCAAAACACCTCGCACATGTCGTCAGTGGCCCGAAGAGTATGCCCCTCCGGGATTTCGACTTAATGCGAAAATAACGATCGCCACCTCGACGAACCTCTTCCCTGCGCAGATCTTTGCCCAAGTTCACAACTTCGGAAGACATCTTTTTTAGCTTATGTCTAATTACCTGGCCCATGTACCATAGTTTCGCTATTCAAACGATCCAGGGCCGCCCCTAGCTAAAAGGCTATCTCTAGGGATCCCCCCCAGCCACCGCCGGGTGTAACTAGCTTTAAGTGTCTTCACCTTTTCAGCTCTATCTAGAGCGAATACTTTTGCTGAAATCAGTGGTGAAAGACCTAATCCTCTTTTTTTAAGGTTTTCCCACCACCTATTCGATAACTGCCCCAACTAATTCCCGCTGCACTAATCTAGTTAGCTGCTCCCCGGAAGTCCTGCCTGTCCAGTAAAGACAGATTGAACTTCCAGTAGCCAGCCATTCTAGGCCTATGGTCTAACGCCACGTGACTACATACCATCCCACCCCACACTCTATAAGCCACACGCCGAATTGGATAACCGCAGCCCAAAATCGTGAGATAAGTCTGTCCCTTGAACGCTCGTCTCATAGAGCGATACAACAGAACAGCACACACTTTAAACCCCCTCAAAAAGGACAAATAGTGGCACTACAAAGACCAACAACCCGTCGATGGGACACAACAGGTCAGGTCATTGAAACCCTCCCCAACCACCAATACCGTATCAGAGTTGACGGATCAGGTAGAATTACATTATACAAAATCGCCGATTTCTCAGGAAACTGGATACACCAACAATTCCAGTTCCAAGACCTAGTGCATTACCTGACACCCCTACACCAGTGCAACAAACATTTGACGCTGGAATAACATCAAACATTGCTCAGCCGTCTACAATAACACGGACAAAAACCCCTCGGGCATTGTCCAGACTACTTCCGCACAACCAGCCAGGTTTAAAGGAACTCATCCCTCCCCAAAGGCCACTACCCACACGCGATGGGGGGGAAGGAGATGTAGAATAACAATAATAAAAAGCACTTACCGCTGAAGAGTTCCAACTAGCGTCCAGCTGGCAGACAAAAATAAAGCAGGTTGTAACTTAATACAAACACTGCAAACTAACTGAGAAATCATGCTAGTATTTATATAGTAATACTTCCACTCAGGTACCAGCAGCCAATCACAGCCCAAGCAATGGACTATCCCACTTTAGCATAATGAGATGCTCCATTGCACCATAAATAGCTCTCTGTCTCAATGTTGAATTAGTTTTCACTCAGCTTGCTCTACAACTGAGTGTTTATCTTGACCACGATTGTTCGACAATAACCAAAAAGTTAAGATGGTTACTTTCAGTAAGGCCTTGGAAGAAGGAACCATAAACTATATCTTAAACACAAACTGTTGTTGCAAACAATTTACGGTTTCATTTAATGACAAACAATTCAATAAGCAGATCAAATTTGCCTTGCTTGACACTGTTAAGAAGAGACATTCATGATAAATCATTAAAAGCAAAAATATTCAAATAAGGCTAACTTAAAACAAATAAAATGCATTAGCAATGCATTAGCAATCTGAATTTTGTCTCAATATATAATAATGAAGTATTCTGTTGTTATGGTAACACAAGGTATATTTGTTTTGAGTGGTAGTGAGTAAAGCCTCTTCTTAACATAATGATATGTACTTAGAAAAATAGAAAATAAAAGTATACTTATAATAATTATATATATCCTTTATTTTCTATTTTTCTAAGTACATGAGGCATTACTCAATACCTCTCAAAACAAATATGCCTTGTGTTACTGTAACAACGGAATACCTCCTGGTATTATATAAATCGCTTTTTGCTCAATATCTTTTCCTGTTAAAAATTTTATGTATTTTAATATAACAGTGAAATAGAAATTTCTCTTGGAAGAAAAAGATTAGCAGCAGAACAACAAAAACAGTAACAACAAAGCCTATTTCAAGATGCAAGACGATCACTTAATAGACAAAGGTATCTGAGTGCCTCACATGAAAGGCTTTAACAAATAAGACTGCAATCTAAGAATGTAGGAGTGAAGGAACTGATTAATTAAATAGTTCATTTTGTTCAGGAACTAATTTAGTCTAAATGCAGGTAAATACTTTATTTGTATAGATTATTAAAACTACTAAGGGACATCACTCATAAATTTACTAACAAGTTGATTTACCTTCCCACTACAGACAGGAGAGGAAATAAATAAATAAATAAATAAATACACACTGATAATTATTATATGGTTTGATTAATATTTTTTTCTACAATTGTTAATTGTTAATATTCTTTAACAAGATATTAATATTGATAGAAATATGAGTTCAAGTTATAAATATGAGGTGATACTGAAAAGTCCTCAACACAACAAGAAGAGATTCCCCAACAGAAAAATCTGATGTTTAGTCAGATTTTGAGAACTGGGTCAGACAGAAAATATCTCATCATCTTTTTATATAATTTTTTTTATTTCTTGTTCCTTGAAAAATCCGATTTATTTTATTTTTCAGTTGGTGTTTACCAAAATTGACAAAGTTAATAATCACATCCAAATACGGAACTTTTTATCTGTTCTTAAAATCAGAGATCAGCTCAGCCACTGCTGCTTTTCACAGCCTTTCTTGATCAGGTGAGAAAACATTCATTTCATTATTTTCACCATATATTTTTATATATAAGTAAGTCTGTAGCCTAATGAGGAAAAAAGCATTTATTTACACAACAAATATTTTTCTTTCAACTTAATTTCTTTACTTTGTCTTCTATTTCTATGTGCCATATTGCTTAATGATAACTTCCTATCCTGTTACCTCCTTCATGTTTTTTTACATTCAATATGTCCTGTGGGTGTTAAGTTTTCAAGCCCTCATTATGTGTCCCAGAAATTTCAGCTGTCTCTTTCTGATTCTAAGAGTTATTTTTGTTTCCATTTTCCTTAAAACTGCTTCATTGCTGACACACACCATAGTATTCTCAGCATCCTTCTGTAGAACCACATTTCTGTTTCCACAAGGCTTCTCTTTATCTGTGAGGAAATTGTTCAGTATCGACTGTGACATCGGGGGATTAGTTAGTTTTTGGAAGGTATTTTTTGCTATTCCAATGTACCTTCAGATTTTGACAATACATTTTCCATCCTCTGTTAAAACACTTCCCATCTATTTAAACTTCTATACTTGTTTCGTAGTTCACATCTTGGGCATTTTCTTTTGCTAACAACCATACATCATTCTGTCTTCTTACGATTGATGGTTAGTCCTTTCTCTTCACTTTTCTTTACTACCTTGTCTAGGAGGTCTTGTAGTTTTCCATCCGTGTCTGTGAACATCATTTGTGTCACTGTATACCTTATATTGTTAAGAAATTCTGGTAAGGTTCCCTGCTTCCTTAGGATAGACTTGCTATAGAGGTTGAATAAATCCAGTGAGAAGATATATCCTTGTCTAATGACACTTTCTATTTTTTGGTATCTACTCAATTCATTTTCAGTGTGTATGCAGGTGGTTTGCTCACAGAATTAGTTCTGGATTATTCTAGCATCCTTCCTAAATAGATCTAGTTTTCCTAGCAGTTCAAATAGATCTTTGTGCCGTACCTTATCAAATGCTTTTTTGTAATCTATGAAATATAAATGTACATTCTTCTGCATTTGTATTGCTCTCTCTGATATCACTCTGATCATAAATGTAGCATTTCTTGTTCCAGTGTTCTTGACAAAACCACACTCTTCTTGTCCTGTTTTCAGTTTAATTCTGGCTTGTTCTCTATTCATCAGAATTTGGATTATTAGCTTGGTTATGTGGCTCATTAAGCTGATTGTACAATGGAGTTTGCATTCATTTGCACCTTAGGTAGTGCTATGAAAATAAATCTATGGTCTTCTGGTATGTTTTCAATATATATTTAATTTATTATTTCTGTGATTTTGCTGATGCCAAGAATGTCTAAGGGTGAGAGCATTTCTATTACAATTCCATCTGGTCTTACTGTTTTGTTCTTGTCCATCTTATCCAGTGCCAATCTTTAATATTTCCAGTCCTTCTTTATTGTTATGTATTGCAGATTTCTGTCTCATTGTGAAATAGTTCTCCAACATATTCACCTCATCTTTGGTGTATTTTTACTTTACTTGTCAATGTACTTAATTCAGTGGTGCATATTAATTACAAAAGTTGAACATTATACAGGGAAAATTTCATATCAAAATTCAGTTAATAATAAATATCTGGTTTCACATATCCACCCTGTGGATATGTGAAACCAGAAACCATACATACTGTATGCACCTACCAATTTTTTTTTTATTAAAAGTTAATTTCTTCAAAGCCAGGATTTTATTATTTTGAATGGAGCATTATACAATGAAAACAGATATTATTAGGTTTTATTGGTAATAACCAGACTCAGCATTGAAACCAAAAATATGTATATGTATCACTCTGTAAATTTATTAAAAATTTTCTAAAAAATTTGGTAGGAGTATACTTCTCTTTTTTTTTTTTTTTTTAACTAAAGATTCATCTAATACAAGGCCAAAGAGCCGTTCAAGGTAGAAGGTTACTGAGTGTGTTTGTTCAAGATGTAAGAGGAGGAAGTAAATGCAGATTATGAGGATATAAAGATAATGGTTGACACAAAAAGTTAAGATTGTAGTGATTAGAGGAGCATCCTTTTGGGAGTCTGTTTCACAATGTCGGAATCTGTCTGAGTGAAACTTCCTTCTTTCCAATTGGATATGAAGGGAATGCAGATGATTCCACCTTGTGTCCATGGCATGGCATAATGAAACTAAGTGGAACTAAGGAATAGAACTCATCAGAACATTTTCTATGTAAACAGTGATAGAGTAGCAATAGGCTTACAATGTTTTGTCTGTGGGAAAGAGATTGTAAGTTTGAAAATAATTCATTGTCCACAAAGCTGCGTAAATTCTTTTGGATTCTGTCAAGGCTGGTAAGTGACTTATTTATACTGTATATATTAGGTATGTGTAAAAGTTTGCATCAAAGGAATGATTTTCAACTGTGTATTCTGTCTCAAGATTTTTAAAAGAATTGCTGGAGACTTTTGCTTACACCTAATATATAAAAAGTGGGACGTGTTTAATTTCACATAATAGTTAAAAAAGTCATCTGACAGACCAATTGGTTTAATTTTCACTGGGTCCCATGTACTTGTAACCTTGTGTCAGACTTAAATAAACTTATATAAAATGGCAGATCAAGTTTTGGTATTATTTAGGTTGATGCTCTGCACAAAATCTATCTCATAAAAGAAAAGCTGATTTTCTGTCTGTGTGTGACTTTGCATGCACATATATAATGTATATGCATAAACTGATTATATTGTTCGAACTGCTGTCCTCATCTTTATGTAAATAGTGTAAATAGTTACAATACCTCATCTCAGAAATATAGACAGATGTGTATATCTGTGTTGTGTAAGTGATTTTCATGTGCTTGTACCATTTAATGTATTCACACACACACACATAATTTAACTGTGTTTGAAATAAAACATTGGAATAACACATTCCCTCCCCTGGGCAAGTAATAAAATCATAAAGTTGGAGACAAGAAAAAAATAAAAATAAAAGAAGAGAAAAACTTATCAACAGCTTAATTGTCTGTCCAACTGTCTCTTTGCTTACATGTGTAGTACAGCTGAAAAATAAAAAATAAAAAAATCGGCTTCATTTTCTCCTAACTACAATGAGAGCTTTAGTATCTTATTGATAATGATTTCACTCTATCTATTGATATTAGTCTATTCCTGTCCATCTATATCAGTCTATTTATATCTATTATATATCAATGAGTCTATTCATATCTATTATATATCAATGAGTCTATTCATATTTATCATATATCAATGAGTTTATTCATGTCTTATCATATATCAATCAGTCTATTCATAACTATTTATTGGTACTTTGAACTTGACAGTAAAGAGATGACCATAAAGTAAATGTCCAGTTATGACAATAAAATGAATTTTGGTTAAATTTAAAAAATAAATGAATTCAATTAAAATGGCACAAATGGAATGAAAGGAGAAAAATAGCCTACATGGGTCAGTGAAAAAAATATCAGTTCTGAAGTTGTTAAAATATCATGATGTTAATTTTGGATGCTGTTAAAGTAATTTTGTTAATATCTGCTGAATGCAGAGTAATTCTGAATCTGTTGACTTTAGTTTTAAATTGTAACCTCCCCAAATTTTCTAAAAAAGAGCATAGCATGTTAGGAAAAGGCCCCAAACTTGATAAAAACAAAGTTTTATTGTCAAAATATTTATTATTAAGAGGAAAGACCAAAGTATTTATTATTATTTTATTAAATTTTTTAATCCTTTCTAGCACATTTGAAATTTTGTTTAAAAATCTTGTTTTTTTTGTGTCAGTGGGTGGGCCAAAGATTAGTATGGGAAATTTAGCATCTTTTTGCAGTAAAAACAGTTTTGAAAATTCTTACAAAAGTCAAATAATTGTCAGATTTTAATAAAATTTTCAGGATTTATTTCTATTTTTAAATATCTTTTTTTAGAAAATCTTTGTAAAAATATATTTATTTTTACATCTGTTAACTCCCACTTAATTTTATGAAATTTTGAGAAATTAACATTCCAGGATCTTCATATTAGTTAAAAGCAGGACTTCTTGGAGAATTTAAATCACCAATTTGTTTTTTGTTTTTTTTTCAAACAGAAAAAATCAAATTGATGATTTAAATTCTGTTCAACTTAAATAATCCTCTGTGTGTATTTATGGTCATTAATTCTGAATATTAATTTTCAATCTGAATTTGCAAACATGCTTCAAAGAGCTCCAGCTTTGAAAATATTCTTCCACTATTCAATTTTGAAAAAATTTCTTTTGGATTTGGCAATGGGTAGTTAATTATGTATTTCTAAATGACTGTTCAATCCAGTCAAGAAATCTGCACAAACACAAATTTTATTATTTCTTTTCTTTACATACACTGCTGGTGTAGCCCATATCGAAGGGTTAAATTTTTCTATTATACCAATTCTTTCGAGTCTGTCCAACTTTTCTTTAACTTGTTCTAATTCTGTGAATGGTACACTATGTTTCAGCTTAAATATTGGTGCTGAACCTTTCTTTATTTGAAAATCCATCTTGAATTTTGAACACTGACTTAGTTCATTTGACAGAACATCTTGAAAACATTTTTTTAATTCTCCCTTAAGATTTTTGCTCTTTTTAAATAGGTCACTTGTCCACTTACCTTTTTATAATAAACATTTATCAGCAAATCTAAAAATTCAAATAGTTCTATCCAGTCCATACTGAATAAATTCATAGCATTTCTTTATACATAAGCTTCAATTTTTACATGCTTATTATGAAAAAAAACATTGCAATTCATTTCAGAAAAAAAAAAAAATTCTCACCAGAAACTGAATTTGTGACTTTGGAAGTCCTTTTTAATAAAGACTTTCCAGTTTTCTTCCATGTGGTTTCACTGATTATTGAAATATTGCTACTAGTGTCCAGTAGCATTTTTACACCCACATTATTTATTTTTACATTTACAAATTTTCTTTTGTTTTCTGTGACCATTTTATCCTTCACAATGCTGTGTACTAATTTCTTCCTGTGAGAATTTT